AAAAAAAAAAAAAAAATAAAAAAAAAACACATTTAGTAAAAACAATACCCTCTCAGCTCCGCATCGAAGCTAAAAAAAACACATCTTAGTAAAACCAATACCTTCTCATTTTCGCATTTGAGCTAAAATGTAAATATTTTGGTAACATGTTACTATATAAATCATATTATAAAAAATGAATCGGATTTCACATGAATTTATCTACTATATCCTTATATCTTATATATCCCTTTAAATTGATTACAAGTTTTATGATTTAAAGTGTAATATATGAATAAATATTTATTATATGGTATAATATATACACCATTTATTATTCAGTAGTCTATAAATCATTCTATATTAATCATCAATTTAAATATAAAATATTTATGTCAATACTTTAAACTATTCCAAAAAATATGTCTAAATATGCATTGATACAAATCTAATGTAATAACTATAATATCGTTGAAAGAAATTGGTCCAGTGAGAGCTAAGAAATAGTGGCAATAGACACAAAAAAATATATAAAAAAACACATGGTAAAATTGATAACTTCTCAGCTTCGAAGCTAAAATACAATTTTTGTAAAAAAATTATTTTTTATATTTTTAACTTTATAATACTATAGCTTTTTGAAAAATGCATCATTAAAATTTTTTTAAGATAAGTACTATTTATATTTTCATTTATGCGATATACTTTTTTTTTAAATCGGACCATTTCCAACACTGTTCTGCAACCCCACTGCACATATTTAATTTTTATAAATTCCAATAACATTCAAAGTTTTGGACTTAATTTAATAGAGACCCTTAANATTTTGGACTTAATTTAATAGAGCCCCTTAATACACAATATTTATTAACTTATAATAAGCATTAATATATGTTTATTATGAATTAAATTTATTACTATAATTATGTAGTTCTTTAAGTTAAAATAAATTTTAAAAATATATTTATATTTAAAACAGTTATGAAAGTGAACTGTACAATTGGTTATGGAGACCAAAATTTTAGATTAACAAAAGTAATTTACCTTTTTGAAAAAAATCATATGTAACTGGAATTGTAGCTGGAGAATTTGAGCATTCATTATCTGCTTCTAAATACAAGTAATTAAAAAAATATTATATTAAACCAAATCAAGATAATTTGGTATGAGGTGGGCACAATGGACTAAGAGGTCTGAATGCATGGGCATTATGTCCACCTCGATAAGAACTAAAACTAAAACTAATTATATATACAGTAGAACTACAATTATCCGAACTCCGACCATCCGAATCGCCGATTATCCGAATCACTTTCAGAAAAAATCAGAAAAAAATTTGTCCAAAGTCCGCGGCGTCAGTGTAGGCACAACACGTGGTAAGAGTTCCCACTCCAGTTCCGGCGCATTGCAGTCACCTGTCATTGTTTGTTTTGATTAGTCAGTGTGCTAAATTGACCTTGCTCGAGAACGCTACTCTTTCGCTACGGCTTACTTTTGTTTGTGCGTGTACTGTATTGTTTTTTACCATGGCTTCGAAAAGAAAACGTGTTGTGCTATCGTTAGCGGACAAACTGAAAATTATAGAGCAACTCGATAAAGGTGTAACGGGTAAGAAGTTGTCTGAGATTTATGGTGTTGGACAAGCAACAATTTGTGACATTAAAAACAGTAAGTCAACACTTTTAAACTTTGTTTCGGTGCTTGAAAATGAAGATGGAAGTTCCTCCAGGAAAACAATGAAGACAGCAACCAACAAAAATTTGGAAGATGCCGTGTTTAAATGGTTTTTGCAGCAACGTTCTATGGGAAATCCGATTTCAGGTCCAATCCTTTGTGAAAAAGCCAAAATCTTAGCAGAAAAGCTTGGTTATTCATCTTTTAAGGCTAGTAATGGCTGGCTAAGGAACTTTAAATTCAGGCATGGTGTACGCGAGTTAGATTTGGCTGGTGAGAAGCTTTCAGCAGACTCTGCAGCTGCTGAAAATTTTATTGAAAAATTTAAAACTGCAGCAGAATCCTATGATCCGGAGTTTGTTTATAATGCCGATGAAACTGGCCTTGTTTGGAAAGCATTACCAAAAACCACTTTGGAAGTGGAAGAAGAACTTTCTGCTGATGTTGAAGTAGACGCTGGACCATCAGCTAGTGAAGCATTTGCCGGCCTCGAGACTGCTTTGAAGTGGATGGAGCGTCAGCCCGAGTGTGACCACTTGCAACTGCTCACCGTCAAGCGAATGCGTGACCTGGCTGCCCGAAAACGGATGAAGACCGCAAAACAGCTTACATTGACGGAGATGTTTAAAAAACAATGATTTTTATTTCTAAACTTGTAAGTACATTTTATTTATATTTAAAACATGTGAAAATATCATGTTTCTTTCATTTAATTCAATAAAAAAATAGTGCAATATCAAAACGTAGCTTTTTTTCTCTCCAATGGCAATTTTTTAAAAAAAAAACTCCGATTATCCGAATATTTGATTATCCGAATGGGTCCCGGTCCCCATTAATTCGGATAATTGGAGTTCTACTGTATATACAGGATAATTTTTTTATCATAACCCACTCAATTACTTTCAGAATAATAATAATTAAAAATTTTTTTTTTATTACTATCTTTAGTTACACATTCTTCTTGAATTATTAACTATGTAATACTTTTTAAGTTCATCCCTTATGCCTGATAAGGGTNTACTTTTTAAGTTCATCCCTTATGCCTGGTAAGGGTGTCAACTTTGTTTTTTTAAATGGTAACACATATTTTTAATTTAATAAAATGTTTGAGTTTTTAATTCAATAATAAATGGCATTTGAATTTTTAATAAAACTTAATTTGTTTATTAGATATAAACATTTAAAGTTTCAAATTTTTGAGTTAATATACATGTATAATACACAAGGGTTTACAAATACAGGTAGCTAATGGATTTTTTATGACATCGATATTAGCAGGTACAAAGCATTGTTATTATCAATGATAGTAAGGTATATTGTTGTGAGTTTATAAATACACTAACTAACAATACAAAAAGTATATCTATTGATGGTCATAATTGATAATAAACAATCTGTGACTGTGACAGCAATTCCATAAAAATTTAATTAGCTACATGCATTTATAATCCCTTGTGTATTATACATGTATATTAACTTAAAAATTTGATACTTATATCTAATAAACTAATAAAGTTATTTTAAAAATTAAAATGTTATTTACTATTGAATTAAAAATCCAAACATTTTATTAAATTAAAAATATGTGTTACCATTTAAAAAAACAAAGTTGACACACTTACCAGGCATAAGGGATGAACTTAAAAAGTATTACATAGTTAATAATTCAAGAAGAATGTGTAACTAAAGATAGTAATAAAAAAATTTTTTCAATTATTATTATTCTGTAAGTAATTGAGTTGGTTATGATAAAAAAATCACCCTGTATAATATGAATTAAGTTCATTATAAAAATTGAGTAGTTTGTTAAGTTTAAATAAATTTAAAAAATATATGTAATATTTGAAACGGTTATGACACTAGACCGTATAATTGGTTTTGAAGACCAAAATTTCAGATTAACAAAAGTAATTTACCTTTTTGAAAAAAATCATCTGTAACTGGAATTGTAGCTGGAGAACTTGCAGATTCATTGTCTGCTTCTAAATACAAATAAAAGGAAAACAAATTCAATGATTAAATATTTCAAGTATTATATTTACTGTAATTTTATGAAGAGAAACACCAACATTTTTAATTTCAGTTGAACCACTTTTTGATTTTTGATTGCTATAGGTTAGATTTTGGGCTATTATAAGACTCATATATAATTTATATAAATAGGTATGGATATATATTTATATATGATATAAATTAAGTTCATTACATTAGCTTTAATTTAAGATATATATATAAAAGTGTCAGACTTTCCGGAACATTTTCAAATGTCAAGTTGAAAAAATTAATTTTTTGTGAAAAAGTTGTCATTTTAAATCCCTTCCTGTTGGCCGGTAAAGGGTCAGATTTATAACAAAAATATACCAAATGATAGTTAATGACAGCATAAAAATGAAAATGAATAAAAAAAATAAAAAAATGAATTATATTGATCCATACATATTTCAAAAAGTTATGGCATTACAAAGTTAAAAATATAAAAAAGAATATATTACATATAAATATTACATTTAAAATGGTTATGACACTAAACCGTATAATTGGCTTTGAAGACCAACATTTTATATTAACAAAAGTAATTTACCTTTTTGAAAAAAATCATAAAAAACTGGAATTCTAGCTGGAGAATTCGCGCATTCGTCATCTGTTTCTAAATACAAGTAATTAAAAGATATTATACTAATTAAATATTTTAAGTGTTTTATTTACAGAGATTTAACGTAGAAAAAAATATATTTTTATGTAAAAATATTGACACTAATACATACTTTTAAAATCATGATCCAATGCATTTGAAATAAATTTTAATCCTAGTTTTGTATAGTTTTCTAAAATCAAAATCTTAATTTCACTTAATATAATTTCATTACCAGCATTATAAAATGGTACATTTTCTCTAAATTTAATATTAGTATATTTAGCTTTCAATTTATTCGCTAACAAAAACATATTACTAGGTTCCATTATACAATGTTTTTTGATATCCACTTCTATATTTATTTCAATATCTTTCAACTTTTCTTTTATATTATTTAGTATATCAATATTGTACACGGAGGAATATTGTATCATTGTGGAAGAATGATGATTTAATTGACTTTGTAAATTTAGGAACTTTTCAAAAACTAATTTTAAGATAAAACGATATCTTTTCATAAGATTCCATGGTTTTTTTTTTTTATTTAAAAAGCTTTCAATACAGAAGTATTATTATAGCTAAACGAAAGATTCCATGGTTTTACATGCATTTTGTCTATAGCATACAAGGCGCCTTGCATTTTTATTGTAAATAAAGTTATATTGGACAAAATTTCTAATAGTTTTACAATGCAATTGTGTCCTTGTAATTTATCAAATTTATTATTACTCATTATTTTTTCACAGAATAGTACTTGATAATTGATAGCAGTTACAATGTCCAATAAAATACTTGCGTATGTGCAACCAAGGAAAACAGTTGCGGCTCGTATTTTTGTATTACATGTTTTTTGTGTTATTGGCTCTTCAATGATACTGGCAAGATCGTTAATTTGATTTAAGAAAGTTACATTTTTTATCCGTTTTAAATTTTTCCATCCAATACATTTGAAAAGATTATTCAGAATAATAGTATTTTCCTTTGAATTATTTGTTGATTGGGTGCATAAGATTACACAAAATAATAACATGAATTTTGAAACAAGCTCTAATGATGTCATTTTTTTTTTAAAGTTATATAGTACTAATGATATAATGATAATAATCATTGTGATAAATGTTATATAAACTGTTCAGTACAACTATGATTCTAAATATAATTTTTACTGTTTGAAAACGTTTTTTATATATTTATAGCAAAGTAAATTCAACACTTTTTCAGCTATGTATTGAAGTTTAAATAACATAAAACATCATCTTGATTTTAAAATTTGTTTAAAACTATCGTATAACAGTCTTTTTAGATCTTAAGTAAACTAGTTTAAAAATAAATCTTTGATTTGTATTTGCAACAATTACTACCCATTTATAATATATTATTATGTATAACGATATTTTACTGATGTTTTTTATAGAATATCGTAATTTTGTTATTTAAAAAAAAAAAAAAACAAAAATTTATAAAACTTTTATACATAGATATATTAGAGTGTATCAAAAAAAGTCGATCTTCGAAATTTTAATGAGAACCATTTTAACTTTATTACATACAATAAAATAGACATTTTGTGAAAATTTGAGATTTTTAAAAAATCTTTTATTGTTGTCTTAAAGTAATTTTAGTATTTTGACCAAAAATACCCCGAAAAAACAAATTTAATAAATATTCAATTTGTGGTCAAATATTATGATTAGTATATCAAAATAATTTGATTTTTACTGTAGCATACAAATTTTTAGTTACAAAATTTTAAGTCGAAAATTGATAGCATGGATATCATAATTAGCGTCATTATAATATATTATGGTATATTTCTATTAGGTCTCCAGTAAGCTTAAAAATTAAAAAAAAAATTTTTTTTATGCAGTTTGACTGATATTTATGTATATTATAAGTACAAAAATAATTCTTCACTAATTTTAAAAAGTTACCTATTTTATAATTAATGCATAAGCTCTAAAATATACGATATTCTTGAAAATATGAATAAATGACGATTGGTTTTACATACTTTACAAATATATTTTTTTTATTAAACAATTCATTTTTTATTAAATATAATATAATAAAAAAGTAAGTTTCATTATTTTGGTAACATTAATTTGACTTCTCGGGATGATTATAAAACGTTGTTCGAATTTTGTTTATTCATTGGAAAAACGTACAAAAAAAAATTGTAGTCCATCCACTAGAAGCAATTCATAGAGCAAGATGGATGGCAAAAATTATATATTGTCTTATAATTTATATACTCCGTACGCAAATTAAATTAACAGTTTCCGAATTATAGGATATTCATTATTTCAATTCATTTGTTTTAAAAATTTATATTAGATATTGGTTCGAAGTTCATATCGAACAAAATCAACAAATAATGACCTTAAAGTACTACGAGAACTGAACAACAATATAATAATATTAATAAGTGAGATAGCGATAAAAGCTTTTGCTGGACATTTATGGCACTTCAATGAAATGAATGTTGGATTATCATTTTTTGTAATGATTTATCGACAGACATAAAAATTATAATGATGCATGCATTAAATAAAAAAGGAGAATACAATCCAAAAAAATGAATTGGAATCGAAAAAGTAAAGGGTAATGAGGGTATAAATCAATTTTTCACAGAAAACACTATTCGTATCTAGATTTCTAATCTAGTTTGACATGAATTGAAAAAATACCGCCAATTTCAATAATCTGGATTGTGAATTAAATCCGTCAATAAATATCATAAATTGAAACCAATAATTCGTAAAATAATAATTTTGTAATACTAAAGAAATATTAATTACTAAACATTTGTAAGTAATTCATTAATCTGAATAAAATTTATAAAATATTTGTAACTTAAATTTATTAAACCACTGTCGTACGCAAGGGGGGTTGGAGGTTGAAACCCATCCAAAATTTACAAGCTAAGCGACAATTTTGGACCATAAACAATAAGTAATAACAATAAAAAAGATCATATCATACTATAAATATTTCCACAATAAAGTAATCGAAAACAGGATTTTTTGTAAGCGAATAATATGGGCAGTGTCACATCTAATTTTCTTTAAATTTCAAAAAACCCCTCTCAAATTTAATTTCTGTGTACGCCACTGTATTAAACATTGGAATACTTTTCAATTTAAATCACACTTAGACATTTTAAAGAAAATTTTGTTTTGATGAATCTTTTAAATTAAGTTTATTAGATTAATAAATAATTATTTTTTATTTTTTCTAATTATGAAAATTAATGTCATTTAAAATTTAAAACGTCAAATTTTTAGCTTAGATGCGAAGCTGAGAAGGTATTAATTTTACTATGATGTGTGGTTTTTTTTATGTCTGTTGCCACTTTTTCTCAGCTCTCACTGGACCGATTTCTTTCAAAAGTACGTCAAAAGATCACAAATCGTATCTAGTTGGAGACATTACCCTTAAAAATTGAAAAAAATTCCCTCGTTCCCCGCAAATGGGGGAAATATCCAAAAAAATTACAAATTTAAAAATCGCTAATTTTCNAAAATTGAAAAAAATTCCCTCGTTCCCCGAAAATGGGGGAAATATCCAAAAAAATTACAAATTTAAAAATCGGTAAATTTTGTCATTTTTTTCACTTTTTTTTCTTAAAACTTCCATAACTTTTTCAAAAATCAACAAATCAACATAATTTTTTTTATACTAAAACCTTAGATATTTACCTTTCATTTGATATCTTTTTTTTGAAAATCTATCACTTAACCTGTTCACTGGGGGGATTTAAAATAGTAACTTTTTTACAAAAATTAATTTTTCAACTTAATTTTTGAAAAAGTTCCGGAAATACTACGTCCTTTAAACATATATCAAATTAAAGCTCATTTTATGTACTATAAAATAAAAAAAAAAAAATTTGTCCCGACGAACTATCTTCTATGCGCAAATGGCTACCATATTCAAAAATATGCTATTTTAACAAATTTTTTTTTTTTAAATTAAACACTATCTACAGATTTGCATCGAAGCGTTTTTTATGATAGTGATTTTAATCACTGTCAGATATCATCTATACTGGACCCAACTATGCTACGACCCCACTGTGCTGGGTTTTTTTTAAAGATTTTATTTTAACAATATATCTAACTCAACTTTAAATATATATTTAATGTTAAGCTTAATGTCTTTGTTCTCGCAAATATCGCGCAGGTGATGACAGTGCAATGAAATGTATGAATATATTTTTAATATTTAATTTTTGTCTTGGTGATTATGTGCAGCATCCTTTCAAAGCATCAGCGTCGTGACACATGGAGCTTCCACAATACGGCTTTATATATTACTATTTTTATATCATATAACTATATAATGCTTTATATAATAGTATAACATTGTATAAAAAATAGAACTTTTTCAACTTAACTTTTGAAAATGTTCCGGAAATACTGCGTCCTTTAAACATATATCAAATAAAAGCTTATGTCATGTACTATAATATGAAAAAATAAATTTGATCCCGACACCTTATCGTCTATGAGTAAATTGCCACCGAAATTAAAAAAAAATGTAATATTTGCAAAAAAAATCAGATCCTATCGTGATGTTTTTGTAATTAAAACTATCTTAACTTATTGAAATATTACAAAAACAAAATAATATATTTTTATATTGAAACCTTAAGTAATTTCCTTTCATTTGATATCATTTTTTTTTGAAAATCTAACACATATTCTGCTCACAGGGGGGATATAAAATAGTAACTTTTTTTACAAAAACTAACTTTTTCTACTTAACATTTGAAAATGTTCCGGAAATATTCACAGTTTTATATAATCTTAAATTAAAGCTTATATTATATACTTTACTCCACTTGAACCACTCACATTTTCCTGTTTCTACATCCTCGTAAATACCACCACTCTTTTTCACAACAGATACTAAATACTTTACATCTCTCCTATCACTAATCTCCTCATTTCACCTACTTCGTGTTCTCCTTTGTCAAACTTGCATTCTGTATAGTCTGTCTTACTCCTACATATTCTTAAATCCTTTTCTTCAAAAGCTGATCTCCACGCCTCTAGCCTTTGATTAATTTCCTCCCTGTTTTCTCCTAATAACACTAACTATATCATCAGCAAACAACATGCACCACAGCACCCCTCCTTGTATTTCTCTAGTAATTTGATCCATCACTATAGAAAATAAGTAAGGGCTTAAAGCAGAACCCTGATGCACTTCTACTCTTACCCAAAAACCTTCTGTTACTCCTACCACACTTTTTACCCTAGTACAAGTGCCATCATACATATCTTCTATTATATTCATGTACCGTTTTGGGACTTCTTTTCTCATTAATGCCCACTTTAGAACCTCTCTCGGTACTCTATCATATGTTTTCTCCAAATCTATAAATACTATACAAAGCTTTTTCTTTTTTTCCCTAAACTTTTCTATTAGTTGCCTCACACAAAATAATGGCTCCATTATTGACTTACCAGGCATTATAACAAACTGGTTTTTAGATACCGATGTCTCATTTCTTATTCTCTTAACTATTACTTTTTCTCAAATTTTCATACTATGACTCATAAACTTTGTGCCTCTAAAGTTTCTACACTCCGTCACCTTTATCTTTAAATATCGGAACCACAAAACTATTCTTCCATTCATTTGGAATTTTCTCTTCTAATAAGATTTTATTTAAAAGTTCCTTCATCCACCTTATGCCAACACCGCCTAATATTTTCCATACTTCTACTGGCACTTCATCTGGTCCCACTGCTTTATTATTCTTTTTCATTGATGCCATAGCCTCCGATACCTCTTTCTCATTAATTAAATCTACCAGTTCCTCATTCCACGAGATATCCTCTAATGTCTCTTTTGGGTACTCCTTATTCAATATTTTTTCAAAATACTCTTTCCACCTTTATTTCACATCATTATCACACGAGAGTACCATATTATCAACACTTTTTATACACCTTAAATAATGATAATCTTTACACCTTAACTCTCTTACTTTTGCAAGTCTATAGATTTTTTTCTTGCCTTCCTTTGTTCCTAGCCTATCATACAACTTATCATACCTCTTAAACTTTGCCTTACTTACTGCACAATTGGCTTCTTTGCACAAGTGTTTATACTCCATCCAGTCTTCTCTCCTTTTGCTCTTCTGACATACTTTGAACTACTTTTTCTTACTTTCAATGATTTTTTGAACGTCCTCATCCCACTACCAGGTTTTCTTTTTTCCTGGCATTCCTACTCACACCAAAAATCTCCTTTGCAATATTTTTTATACAACTAGCAAATCTATTCCAAACATCAATTATGTCTCCCATTCCACACCGTCCTCTCTTTTACCGTCTTAAAAAACTTTTTTATTTTCCCCTTTCAATTTTCACCACTGGATCTTCGATTTTTCCTTTGTGTTTCTTCTATTTTTGTTTATTCCCTTTCCGGTACACCACAATTCCATTACCATCAGTCTATGTTGTGTAGTTACACTCTCACCTGGTATAATTTTACAATATTTTACTCGCTTTACGCTCTCTCTCTTCCACATAAAATAATCAATCTGTGATCTATTTCTCCCACTCTTATATGTTATATAATGTTCTTCCCACTTTCTAAAATAAGTATTAACCACAACAAGATCATACGATACTGCGAAATTCAGTATTCTTTCTGTCTCATTCTTTCCACTAAAACCATACCTCCATGTACTCTTTCATATCCTCTCCTCTCATTACCTACATGTCCATTCATATCACCATTTATCACCGCATCCTCATTTCCAGGTATCCCTTGCATTACCTCATCCATCTCTCTCCAAAACACTTCCTTGTCTATTTCATCACATCCCACTTGTGGTGCATAGGCACTTATTACATTCAGCACTTTTTCTTCGAATATCAATTTTACAACCATAATTCTGTCACTTTTCCTAGCTACTTCTACTACTCTACTTTTCATTTCCTCAATCATTATTATCCTTACATCATTATTTGTTTTAGATCTACCTGAGAATATTATTTTATAACCCTCATCTATTTCTCTCCTTTCCATTTAGTTTCTTGTACACAACAAATGTTAACTTTTCTCCTCTTCAATACTTTTACTAATTCTCCACTTCTACCAGTTAATGTTCCAACATTCTAAGTACCTATTCTTATTTTGTATCTAAATTTCTCCCTTATACACGAGTCGAGCCTAGAGTTAAGTGGTAATGTCCCTACACCGTTGGGTAGATCTGTACACATGACTGTTGAAACAGCTATCGCACAAGTTGTTCGGCTGGTATCAAACACTTTATTCCTTAGGCCTTCTTCGTTTTTAACTACTTTCTGTTGTCCCCGCGTACATCCTAGATGGGACAATCCGCCTAAGTTTTGTTCAGGATTCCTCATACTTTTTTGACAAAGATTTTTACGCCGGTTGTCGACCCGACACAACCTCAATAGTCGCCTCTTACGACTGGCAGAGGGACCGTGGAAGTATTCTTATACCATATCCACAGGGAACTAAAATTTGAAATCGTATAATTACTTATAAATGAATCAGGGCTATAATTATAATATAACAAATTTAATACATTGATAAATATCCTTTTATAAATTATATATATGAACGACGATTATTGTGATGTACTTTATTTAATTTAAAATTATAAGGTATATATTAAAAAATTCGAATATTGAACTATTTCCTAACTTATTTGAGGTCAAATTGTGGATTATTCAATTTAAAAACGTGTTTATACGTATATAAAACTGATTTAACTACATATTAGTAAAGTTTTTTGAATCAAAAAATAATTTCCATTTTGGAAAATTTCCAAGAAAATGAGTGTATTATCCTTAATTAATCCCTGTACAATAAATTTGATAGATTTTTTTGTAAAGTCTTATTGTGATTTGTATAACGATTTTATAGAAAATCGTTTTTGTCTGCCGTGTACCAAAAAATTACAAATCTATTTTATTATACAGGTTAGTTTTCTGCTTTTTCAAAATATCCATTACCAACAATCATTGATTAAATTGTTTTTGTTCTTTTGAAAGATTGGTAAAATTGATTTTATGGTCTGGCATTGTTCTTTCCATCGTTTTACAGTTCATAAATATTTAGTCAGAAACATTATTTTCCTTAATAATACATTCCTAAATATCTGTTCCGTAATTATATAGTTCCCATAATGCCAATACTATTGGTATGTAATAGTTGGGTATTTTTGTACTTGTTTATGTAAATATACTTCTTTTAATTTTTAAATAAAATTTTTTAAGAATTTTTAAATAATTGATTTCTTATATGAACTAATTACTTTATTTATGAAAGTATTTTTAATTCACACACACGTAACAAAATTTTCGTCAGCATAATTATTTAATATAAAAGTTTTTATTATTATTAATAGCTAGACAACTAAAATTATATAAATATAAAAAAAATAATGGTTACTACAAATTCAAGTATTAGTAAAAACTAATATCATTAAATGTTATTATATATTTGTAATGTAGAATCGTGGTTACTTTGATTCCAATTCAGTTTGAACACTTTTTTCTAAAACCCCATATGACAATAGGAATTCCATATTTTCTAAACTATTCCAAGACAATACTTCTGTTTCGTTGTACCTCCTAATTAATTCGTAATCTGTATTGTAAAAATGTTTGACAAAATCCAAGTATAAATGTTGAAATCTTTTATCAGAAATATGATCATCATCAATTCCTAAAAGATGAGGTATCATAATTAATTCAATTTTGTTATCAAATAATATTTTTTTAATGAAATTAAAAAAAATGTATTCTAAAATAATTGTTGGATTTATTGCAAAAAAGTATTTTTGATGATATAAACATGTTTCATGGGTCCCTGATAAAAATCATTAGATTATTCTAAAAGCAACATTTTCTTAATTATATCCCTGATAACTACTTTTATTGATATTAAATATTTTAGTGTTGTAATTTTCAATAAAACTCTAAACTTTGTAAGAAATTATAAAGTAGTTGAATATTTTGTTTCCTCTATGTAAATAAAAAATTAAAGTATGGATTTATCACAAATAAAATAACTCCCTTAATTCGATTATTTTGAACTTCATTAGTTGATTATTATTTTAGTCATGAAATTGAAATTGTAATTAACTATGTCTGTTGATGACCTGCATATCTTATTTATCTTACTATTTTTTGTTATCAAATATCAGATGGCCTGCCTTTGTGTAGATATGTTAGTGTACCTTCCACCGCCGTAACAAAGGCTTCGCGATCTTAAATTTCTAAGTTTATTTTTATAATGATAAAAATAAATTTACAGGGTGTTAGTAAATGCTATGTAACGAGTAGTAGGATGATATTCAGTAGGACCTAAAAATAGCGAAATCAAAAAATAAAATTTTCTATTTCTCTGCTCTACTTTTTTGTCAACTGTCCCATACTCTGAACCATACATAATAGCTGGTCTCGCTTCAGTCTTATAGAACTTACCTTTCAGTCTCATTGGAATTCTTTTATCACATTTATCTCTCCACTTGAACCACCCACATTTTCCTGTTTCTACATTCTCGTAAATACCACCACTCTTTTTCACAATAGATACTAAATACTTTACATCTCTCCTATCACTAATCTCCTCATTTCACCTACTTCGTGTTCTCCTTTGTCAAACTTGCACTCNCCTGTTTCTACATCCTCGTAAATACCACCACTCTTTTTCACAATAGATACTAAATACTTTACATCTCTCCTATCACGCCCTTGACTATTGTCACTAATCTCCTCATTTCACCTACTTCGTGTTCTCCTTTGTCAAACTCGCACTCTGTATAGTCTGTCTTACTCCTACATATTCTTAAACCCTTTTCTTCAAAAGCTGATCTCCACGCCTCTAGCCTTTGATTAATTTCCTCCCTGTTTTCTCCTATTAACACTATACCGTCAGCAATCAAAATTAAAAATGGCCTACTTGAAATCTCGCACACTCAAAAAAAAAAACTGAAATGACGACCCTGTTGTACATTGGCTTAGCCTGACGTACACGTCAATACACACACACACACACACACACAGATTTATTGTACTCTTTAACGTGCTACGCTTATCTTGGACTTTCTCAGAGTCCAATCTCTAAAAATAGTGAACAATCAAAGGAGTAACTTGTAGATCCATCGGCACGATTTAGCTCAAAAGTACTGAGAGGTGACTCCTGGTCAGTCACCAGCACAATTACTTTTTCACCTTACCAACTTGTAGTATAGTCTATAGCTTATAAAGCAGGAAGTAAAAACATTTTATTTACCATTGCAATGTTCGGTATAATTATAACATAATTGTTTTTTCCCTAACATCACTATCTTTAAGCTTTATTTAGAATAATAGAAATAAAAAAGTTCAATAATGACGCAAACGTAATAATTAAAATATATAATTAAAACAAGATAAAACGTATGAAACAAGAACACACTCAAAAAACATAAAAGTAATACTTGACAGTAAAGACTTATTGTCTAAAATATACGTCACAAAAATGAGATTAGTTGCGTTGCTTCCGAGGTAATCTCCTCAACAATTAAATCCATTCCGTTTTATACTAAAATATTTGTTTTTTTTAAATTTAATACAAAATTAATAGTACAACTCTCAAAAATGTGTTAATAAAATATTACTTAGTGGTCTAATAACAATAGTTCAGGGTATTACAATAACGGGGAACGAGGGCTTTGATAAAAGGGATTTTTTTTTAATTATTGGGGATAATGTCTTCAACTAGATACGATTTGTAATCATTTGACGTATTGTTGAGAAAAATCATTTTTGAAATAGTTATAGCAGTTTGAAGTATTAAAAATTGAAAATTTTTGAAAATTAGCGATTTTTAAATTCGTAATTTTTTTGAAGATTTCCCCATTTACGGGGAACGAAAGAAATTTTTTCAATTTTTGTGTGTAATGTCTTTAACTAAATACGATTTGTGATCTTTTGATGTATCATTGAGAAAAATTGGTCCAATGAAAGCTGAGAAAAAGTAGTGATAGACACAAAAAAAAAAAAACACATCATAGTAAAATTAATACCTTCTAAGATTGGCATCAAAGCTAAAACTGTTACGAATATCAATATCATATCAATATCATATCAACATCATGCGTACGGTACGAATGTCAATAGTTTAGTATAATATATTTATTGCTTATTTAATTAATTGTTACCAAAATATTTGTTTATTGAACCATGATAATATAATGTTTTTGAGATTTGAATTAATATATAAAAATTTGGTGCATTATTAATGGTAATTGGGACTGTTTTTAAAGTAAGGGGTGCAGTTGCACACCCTGACCCTTCCCAAATGACGTTCCTAATGCACGACAATACAATTTGTGATCTTTTAGTTTATCGTTCAGTAAAATCGGTTAAGCATAACCCGAGAAAAAGTAGTAAAAGACAAAATAAAAAATAAATATACAGTGATTTTTAGCTTCGATGCGAAGCTGAGTAGGTATTGGTTTTACTGTGATGTGTTTTTAACTTCGATGCGAAGCTGAGAAGGAATTGGTTTTACTAAGATGTGTTTATTTATTTTTTTTTTTTTTTTTTT